CTAGGTTGACGTCATGGTTGAATGCAACTACATTGATGTCTTTTCTCGACAACGCATCTGCTACAATGTTGGAGTGACCTTTGATAAACTGAATGTCTGTGGTGAAAAGTGAGATGTAATCAAGCTGTCGTTTTGGCATCGGAAGGTAACTTGAATAGTTGGTTCTTTTCCTTTTTGCTACCTGATTTATCGTTTTTTAGTAAGTCAGTTAACGGTTGTACAACGTCGGCACAGTTAGGTAAAAATCGACGGCAAAAATTGAATGCACCCAGGAAGCGACGTAATGACTTAACCGAAGTGGGTTCAGGATAGTTGATGACGGCTTCAACTCTCTTTGGTAGAGGTTTAATACCTTGTGCATCAATATAGTGTCCTAAGAATTCTAAGGCAGACGTACCGAATATGCATTTAGTAGGGTTGATAACTACGCCATATTTCTTGAATCGTTCAAAGAGAATCTGCAGATGATGGACATGCTCTTCAAGTGAGGAGCTGGCAATTAGGACGTCATCGATGTAAACAAATACGAAATCTAAACCTCGCGTGACTTCGTCCATAAATCGTTGGAATGTTTGCGCAGCATTCTTAAGCCCAAATGGCATCCTCAATAATTCAAACAACCCAAAAGGTGTGATTACGGCTGTTTTTTCAATATCCTCAGGTGCCACTGGGATCTGATGATAAGCTCTAACTAAGTCTAGTTTTGAAAAGATCAGTTTACCGTGCAGGTTTAGTGAAAAATCATGTAGATGAGGAATAGGGTATCTTTCTGGAACTGTCTGATTATTCAGACGCCTTTAAATCTCCACAAGGGCGCCAATCTTGATCTTTTTTGGGAACCATGTGCAGTGGCGAGGCCCAAGGGCTATTAGACTGTTGGATTATCCCTAGTTGCATCATATGTTCCAATTCTCTTTTAGCGGACTGCAACTTATTGGGTGGTAGTCTCCTCGCCTTGGCGCAGATAGGTGGACCAGTTGTAGTGATAGTATGCTGAAGTTTTTTGTGGAGTTTTCAGTTTGATAATCGGCTTTCGTTATACATTCATACTTCGATAGAAGATCGGCAAAAGTTTGACTATCAGGTCTAAGCAATCGGACACCATAAGTTTCATAATTGCAGGTGATTGTTCCGTTGACCTGTAGACTTGTATTCACGTCGATAAGTTTCTTTTTTCTCATGTCGACAAGGAGATTGTAGTTACTAAGAAAATCGGCTCCAAAGATGGGTTGTTTAACTTCAGCGACGATGAAAACCCATGTAAAACGTCTACGGAGACCGATGTCTAAGATGAGTGATTGCTCGCCATACGCTTTAATAATAGAATTGTTTGCTGCCACTAATGATAATTTAGCGTGTTGGGAGTGCCGTCGTCGGGATAGATGAAGTGGGAGTATGCTTATTTCGGCTCCAGTATCGATTAGAAAATCCGAGCCCGAAATACGATCCCTGACATGAAATAGACGGCTTGAGTTGTGGCCAGAGTCAGGCGCCGCCATTACTGCCTGGCCGGACCGTTTCCCTGGTTATCAGTGCTGGGTGAGGGGAACGCACACGGGCGTGTACAACGCCGTGCTTTTGTTCCGAATTTAGTATGATACCAACAAACTTCGGATGTTCGTTTAGGTGAACGAGATCGTGGTCTAGAACGTGATCTCTGTCTAAAAGGGGGTCTTATTTGTCTAGCCTGAACCGTTGCTACAGTGGTTTGAAGGGACTCAAGTTGATTCGTCAATTGAGATAATTGTCTTTGAATAGAGTTTAAGTAACTGACATCAGCTGCTCCATACGGCTGCATCGTATTTATATAGTGATTATCATGACAGACTTCCATTACCTTATCCGCCATATCAGCTAAATCATCGAGAGGGGAAGACTTCCCCAAGGCACTTAGGATTTGTCTGACACTGCGTGGTAATCGATTGAACCACATTTGTTTGAGGAGGGCTTCGTCTAATTTATAAGGGCCTGCAAGTTGTTTCATGTGTCGGAGTAGTTGGGAAGGTCTTTTGTCTCCCAGGTCACATGCATTCAAAAGTTGTTGCAATCTTGTCTCATCTGAGACTGTTGTTCGCTGAATTAAAGCCGCTTTTAATTTATCATATGGCTCGGTTTACGGAACCTGGTCGATAAGATCTCCCACTTCGGCTGCAATTTGGATCGGGAGTGAGCCCACCACATAAGCGTACTTTGATGCTTGAGAACGTACGCCCCTGGACTGGAATAAGGCTTCAATTTGAGCAAACCAGATTCTAGGATTATTCACTCCATATGGTGGAAGCTTAAATTCAGAAATGGCATTGACTGGACTAAATATACTTTCAGTAAAGTTAGATGATGAACTATGAGTGATTACTGGAACAGGATCCATATCACTAAGCTTAGGTGGAGAATACATTAGGTTAAAAATGAGCTAGAGTATGGTGTAATGAGCGAATAAACAATATAACAATGGGATAAATGCGAGATAATCAAATACTGGGCTCACCAAATAATTGTGGTGGACCAAAAGTATGATAACCAAAAATTAGCAATAAAAATATTATGTCTAAAGTTTATGCAACAGTTAACAGTTAATAAGTTAATTACACACAGATAAAAATAAGAGACGTTACTTGATTCTTCAGGCTATTGCGTGTTCGGCTGGGTTTGGTCCAAATAATCCACAATTATAAAAAAATCAGTAATCTCAATATGGACGATATAGATCCAGTAGGTTTACCAAGCGTAGAATTCAATAAGAATGTCGCAATTGTCTATAAACGTAGATGGTATGCAATTAATATTTCATTCAACATATTAGCAGACATGGCAGAACGATGCAGATGTGAATTAGAGTGTATTTGTTGAGAAGCAGTAACAGTGTCACGACATGTTGTACTCAAAACGGAAGGAAGTCGAGTTACAAGCGTTCAAAGTAATACAGTTGAACAACAAGTACAATTGTTTAATGCTCAATGTACAGAATATGAAAATACATGCGAAAACTATGAAAAATTATTTACAAAATAGGTTAGGTCTATAAACGTAGATGGTATGCAATTAATATTTCATTCAACATATTAGCAGACATGGCAGAACGATGCAGATGTGAATTAGAGTGTATTTGTTGAGAAGCAGTAACAGTGTCACGACATGTTGTACTCAAAACGGAAGGAAGTCGAGTTACAAGCGTTCAAAGTAATACAGTTGAACAACAAGTACAATTGTTTAATGCTCAATGTACAGAATATGAAAATACATGCGAAAACTATGAAAAATTATTTACAAAATAGGTTTTAAGGTTCTACCTCCACATATCAGCTACTGTATGTGCGATCATTTCTGCTTCACGAGTTCATCATTACAAAATGAATATTGAAAATTATTATCGATTTATGTCGAATCGATGAAGGTGGGAAAAATCTTTAGATAATCATTGTTTTAGCTGCTACTGTGGACTTTCAACAAGGCTATTGGTCTTATCCCCTGATTCCGGTTTATCATTGTTGACTGCAATTGACCTGTTTCGTCTCCTAATCACAAAGTAGTCATCTTCGACTTTATTACTTCACTTCGCTATCGCTATGACGTCAGAATCAGGCATCACTTGACAAATTTTCCGTCATATGGTTAGTTTTATTGGGTTGTACGTCAACATTCGGAACCCGATATGTGGATAGAGTACTACAATAACTGGTTTGACGATTCAATATAGAAAACTACGGACTACATAATCGCTCTTTATGTTGATCGTTTGGGCTCATCTCAGTATCCAAATGTGAAAATGAGGACTCTCAGATTGCAACAAACTTCTGAATCGTCTCTATTTAGCATGTACCTCTTTGACGAAAAATGTGTTAATATTAACTGGGGTTACTGAAAGATAGCTACGAATGTTTCTGTAAAAGACCAAACACTGTACCTTTCCACCTTATCCCACTCTATGTCAAGATGCCTACGATTACAACCTTAATGTTACTCGATATGAACAGTGATACATTTAGCATACTTGCACCTTTGAACTACGGAGAACAACAAGTGAAAAGCATATTCCCTGATGTCATCTCCATACTTTTGTAATTGACAATGAAAAATCACAACAAAATCGGAGAATATTGATCGGATACATGAGCAACTTTGACAGCTAGGTTAATACTTTTTGAAAAATTCCACGAATAGCTTTACAGTTATCTTAGGGCTGCGGCTTATCAAAAACATAACCATTAAGTCTAATCAGGAATTGTGGGAATAGACACATTCAGTCTAGATGAGATCCCAAAACATCGACTGTTCTCTGGATTTCGACCACCCATTGTACATTTCCAAGTACCTGGCAGAGTAACGAAATATGAAGAAGCGAGTGCAAAGTAATCAAACGGTTTATATAACCTTGTGACATGATAGATATTTGATATTGTATTTCTACCACTTGAGATCCGTGATATTCTGATCTTGCTCAAAGTTAAAGTTTCGCCTTCGAGATTTTAGTCGTACACAATGGAAATTATGGTTTTGCGATCTTCCCCACGAATTAATTCGCTTGTTATTCTTTATTTGAATCTTATCACCGACCTTTAGGACTGCAATTGATCAGTCTCTTATTAGCATATGTGCATTCTTTGCGTATTGCCTCGATATTACCTTAATTCATGAGTAATCACTTCATTGCAAAAGCAAGCTGGCTGTTAGGACTCAGTAGCTAAGTAGATAACGCAATGGCTTTTGAAACGAACGGCACTGGGTTCGAGTTCTAGAGTGAACGTCAACTCTGAGGTGCAGGTACATCCAGCTGACGAGTCCCAGATGGAACGGAACATGCGTCCTGGATTCCACTGTTAGCCATTATCTACCCTTACTTAGAATACTTACTCATTGATGTTTTTAGTTTGAACTAATATTTAGGTTCGTCTGTCTTAATTTTAATTGGTTGTTCAAGGCCGTCAGTATAGTACATGGGGTTACATTTGAATAAGCAAGCCTGTATCGTGTTGCTGTCGGGACACTGAGTTAGTTGGGGGATGAATATTCTGAAGACCCTAAATTGGTGTGCTGGTAGAAGTGGGAGTAAACTTTATGACTCGCCTGCTGAACTTCAGCACGGTAGTAATGTTTCGGATCTGTCTATCTTGACGATTGAGGGAGATTATTTTGCTCTTAAGGTACTAATCCTTTACGTATATCGTTTTCTCCTAACTTAAGTGTGACTTGGTTGATTTGCTGTCGACATTGCTTATTAATGAGTTTGATCCTGCAAACAGAAAGCTATTGGGAGTACTGATTGACAAATGCGTTGAGAAGGATCCCGAATTCATTCTCAAAGTATTGCAGTTTACTTAACTCATAGTTTCTAGATCTCCCTTTATTTTCATAAACTGTTAAACATTCGAAGGACAGCCAATCTGTTAGTTTCGATAGCTTGTTTTTATGTGCAGTGCCGCGTTTTCATAAAGAAGTATTTTAATGCATGCATTTGTACACCCTTCGATTGGATAGAAGTTGCCGAGTGTTATGCCGTAGGCTTGTGATCTATTTTAACATATTCCAAAGTCGTTGAGCGGTGATCCTAAACTTAGAGGAATGCCAAAAGCATTGAGAAAGTGTATGGTCTCCAAGTTTTGTGAATTTGATCAGAATCAGCTAGGTAAGATCATGTTTGTTTAACGACTCTGTAGCTCAATGCAAGCGAAGGTTGAATGGTGTCTGCTCTAATAAGTGCAAGGTAATTTGTCCTTCAGTTTTTATCCCCATTAGGTCAGTGAAAAAGGTGCAGGTGATGCAGTAGTGGGTGCCGTAACAGACACTTTACAATCAAGGCTAGTAGATCCTTCTCCGATTCATTTTACATTGAAGAAACTCGTTCGTAAGTTGCATATATCGAATCCTGCGTTAAATGTCATGTGTATTCTTGGAAAATCGTATCCCAATGATGCCACTACCTTTTCAAAAATGGGGTTAGAGGGGGATTGGGATGCTAGTAAAGCTGGTGTATGCATGAGACTCCCCTTTCACTCAAAATGGAGAGTGGAGTTAACTGCTGGAAAAAGTCGTGACGCTTGGACAAAAATTATAAGTGAGTTTTATTTCATAAAATTGGATTTATATCCCATTTTTTACCACTTACTCTTGAAGCTAACATCAGCTTTTGATTACAACATAGATGTTGAGACCGATTATAAAGTTGCAACGTTCAGTTGGAAATTGTTTGTATTTGGTTCAACCGTTTATCACCACAGTTTTTTTTGCACTATCAATTTGTTCTGGAGATGTATCTGTTGTCTACGGTGTATTTTGTTACTGGTTATGAAGTCTTCGAGTTAGTTCTATCACCACATATATTCCAGACATAAATAAGAATATTGCTGGATTTCTTGTTATTACTGTTTACTGTAAATAATATTGAGTGCCGTTCAGGCCAAACTCTTAGGATTAAGAAAATGAAGCAGCTATAAGAATATTTCAGTGAATAGGCTATTTAGGATGTAATAAAATTAGAGAAACATTACCAGTGTCCAAACATGATAAAATTATTGGAAGCACGTGAAACGTCATCTATTCTTGATGTTATATTGTAGTGAATTGTAACACCAATAAGGACAAGCGAATTTATTTTAATACATTACAGAATATCTCAGAAAAATCTAGGAACTATACAGTAAACACCTCATTTGCAAAATGTCAATCAATTTTCTGGCTTTGTTGTTCCTTCGTCTCCACAACAACCACTTTCTGTACTTGATTTCTTCTCAACCTTCTGCTTTCAGACATCCCACTTTCGACTGGTGATACGTACTACTTATATTTACCAACTTCAGTAGTACACCACAATATGACAGATGTATATCATGATGAACCGAATCTTCATGGAAAAATCCATGTTCTATAATTCATATGGAGCTCTACGAAATCTTTGTAAATCTTCCCAAATGATACTGAATACCTATTCAGTCAATATATTTTGTTAAGATGGTAATCGGTCTTAATTCGGACGGTTATTAAGTAATTTGTGATATAACTAGATGAAAAGTCATACATTTGAGATACATTTTTGAAGGTGAATGGATGGAACTAAAGCAAAGGGGTGATTTTCCCTGATTCTAAAAATGACCCTGTGTAATCTCAATCGATTATCCAGTTCAAAATAAGTTTAATAATTTCTGTAAGGGATTTAGATTAGGAGTTAAGGCTGGGACTCAGCTTAACAAATCACCGTAATGGTTTTGAGCACGAACTGACATCAACTATGATGCATGGAACCTATGAAGCCATACAAATGAATGGATTGCGCGCATTGATTCCAGAAACGTTATTTAAAATCTGACTGTTTTGCCAACAAACTTTAGTCCCAATTATAAATCTTATATTAAAACATTGCTTTTTAGCATGTAGATTTGAGTATCTGTTATTGAAGTGTGGTAGTCAATCGGTGGATCGATAATACATATCCGGATAATTTGATTAAGATATATTGACCAAAGCATTTGTTTCCTGAATTCTTGAAAGCAGGGACTTTGTGGCCCCAACTCGAAGTTGTCCTATCAACTGTGCTAGGGTGTGAGGGCAGCACATTGTTTTTTTTTATGAAGATTCACTGTATTCATTGATGTTTTATTCTCCTGAATCGAAAGATTGATTAGAAGAAATCACCCATAAAAATAATACATCCTCCTTTACCATATGAATTTCTAGCATTAACTACAGAGTATGAAAAGTGTAAAACTAACATTACAAAAGTCACAGGAATGTTGTTTGTGTTATGTATCAGGGAGTTAGATTCCATCCCCTAAAATTATGGTTCCAGGTCAACAAGGTCCTGAGTAATAATCCTGTTTCCTTTTCATATCCTTTAAAATGAAATGTTTTTACGTTATAGGCTATTGGGAAGTGCATACTTTCACGTATTAGGATTAAGTCTTCTGGCTTTAGCTGGTATTTACTTCTTAACTAGGAAATGTGTATTTTGGTACCACCGAGTAAGCAATGCCTGAGTTAAGAATAGGGTGTTAGGCGAGAATAGCAAATAGGTTGAAAAGGTAGTAACTCTTCAATTGAGATTGTTGTAACATGCGTTACGTATGTTCATCCACCACCTACATCAACGGGCGATGTTTTCTAGTGTTGGAGTGGGATGGAAAAAACGTAGGATCGGCTAAACCAAGAAGAGGCATTAATTCATGCAGTCCTTGACAATTGGACTGAGCAATGCCAATAATTGTAGATCACATGGTTGGGGTCTGCGTGATTATCGTAACCAATGGTTAGGGACTTTGGATGATATGGCTCGAAATCGTTTATAATGGCACAGGTGCATCCGTTTTCTATCTTCCTCCCAATTCTGAGCTTCTAAATTCTTCGTAACGTTTCCAGGTTTCTATTTCATTAATTAATGTTTTTTGAGTCGTATCTTCTATGCTTAGTCTTTTCGACCACCACTGATACTTTTACTACCTCTACTATTCAATCTCTGTTCATATGATTCATATGGTTCAACATCGTGAACCGATGTACATAGGTACCAGGTTCTACATTGTGACTGACTGACTAGAAAATGTTAGTGCCAAAAGCTTGGGAGCTAAATTGGTATTAAATACAGTACTATCTTTTTGTCATCTAACTTTTATTGAAGTTTAGATTACATATATGACCGGCCCAGATCGCACATTTTTGGTTGGCTTATTATATTCTAATTAATTCATTTCGTCAAACTAAATATTTTTGTTACTTGTCTCCTTGCGTTTTTTCGAAGACGTAATGATTTTTGTGTTGCTTAGTTTACCATGTCGATGAGTTTACACTTTATAGAGGTACTGATGAAGTAAACCTGATAATTCACCGAAAAGGATTGTAGTAGGCAACAGAAGTTAGTAATCTATAATCAGCTGGTAAGTTTGTAAAAGAAACAAAATGATTTCAAGCGATCAACTGTTCGGTAAGAATCAAAACATAAATTGTCAACTTCATAGTCACTAAAGACATAGGAATTAATATTCTTTTCATTATTGCTTCGTTGACTGTTTTGAATCAAGAAGGGCACATTTAATCTTCATGCTTGTCATCCTTCAGATATATGTCTCACTGGTTGCCTACATTACCCCCATTGTTTAATGTTATGAAATTTCCCTTCGTTGTAAATTTTATGAGCTTTTATCAGTCAGAGAATAGCTTAAAAATCACGTGGGTTTTCAAAAAATGAAAAACTAGTAGGAATAATTATTTAGCTGTGTAAAGTTGGTTAGCTAAAATGTGACCAACTTTGTACATGATAGACTTGGATCTATTCTAGTATAATATAACCTTAAATAGTGTATTTTGTTATAAAATCCTGAACCCAATTGATATCTGCTTTGGTCATTCACCTACTGTTACATTGCTGATTGAGTTTTATGCGTCTTCGGTATCATGCTGTTTTTAACATATATATATATATATTTGAACGCTTTATTTTAAAATGAGGTATTTATTTCATAGCACCTCTTTCATTTACTTTTACTTAGCGTCTGGTGATCTTTGTCATGAATTAATTCTGAGAAATCTAAAAAGTATCCTATGCTCACGCATTTCTCAAACTGGACATGATATTGTTTTACAGAGATTGTCAAATGTGGTAAGTGTTTACCCTCTAAAGGTTTGATCTTTGTGAGGTTTATTATTTTGTCGTTCAGTTATGTGAATCCAGAATTTCGCCATTGATGATTGCTTCAAGAAGCTATATCGCTATAATGATTATTGAAAGGGGATAGTTCATAACTTACCTTCGAAAAATCGGTAGGTAAATATTTTAGAGTTGATATGTTTTCTGCATCACCACTTAAATCGCTAACAATAATCCAATGGCCACCAGTAATCCGTTTCGATATCATCGTCCCTGTTCTAGTGGAAAGTTTCCGCCTGAGAAATCGACATGGTTTTGAATGAGAATGAATGTTCACTGATGAAAGTCACGTTATACTACTAATTGATTAACTTTAGATGGTATCGATTAACCTTCAAGTTGTAACATAGTTGCTGGTAGTTAGAATGTTATTCAATATACGTAAAAGTGGTTGTCCCAGTTCTTTCTGAAGGTAAAGATACTATTTATTGAGGAATCTCAAGATAAATACTGTTTTCCTGTGCCCTCCGATTTCTAACATTTCTTTGGTTATTAGTTTGGAATGAAAGTAGTCTAGAAACGTTGAGATGCCTGAATAGAAATATATGTGAAGTTTTCATACGAAGTAATGCCAGTCTAATACCTGTTTTTTCTAGAGATGTTAGTGTGTATCTCTCGGAACATATTTTGTTGAAATAAGATTTATGTGTATATTTATTTATTCCCAGTAAGAGTGGCTGACATCGGCTATCATGAATGAGTATTCTATGTAGTTGTGTTGTTTACAACCTTTTTGGTAGACTTTATTGATGAATCCGTCCTTGTTCGACTGAATTAAACTCCTACATGGTCATACACAAACCTGTGACATAGACCTTGATAGTACAGAAGATTGTTTGTCTCAGAGACATTTTATGAATCTATTAAGCTCGTTATCAGTGATAGTTTTCTGTTGTGTTCTTACCAGTCGTGGTACATCTATTAAGACTTGTCTTCATATTTCAGAGTTGGAAAAGCTTGCTCAGTGAGAGTGTCATAGGATTTACTTCACTAAATTATTAAGTAATTGATTTTCTGTAGGTAGTATTCGTCACAGATTGGCATCAGTTGGGATACCATAGAAAATCATACTACATTGGGTATTGTTTCGTCTGGAGCTAGGAATTCTTAGTAGTACTGGCTAACGACCAGGACCACCAGATCCCAAAGCGAAACACTGAAGCTTTAGACCAATGAGTTGCCATTGAATAGTCCACATTTTGAACTTCAATCAATTCATCACGCTGGTAGTTAGAGGGTCATCGTCGACGACATTGGATGCCTGTTGCCTCGTACCACGAATTGACTGAATTTAGGAATCTGAACCATTGAATCTTAACTCATTAGTTCAAACGTTAGATGTCCACTTGCAGAGCTGTAAGTTCGTCTGATCAACAGCAGTGTCGTAGGTGTACAATGATGATGAGTCTCGAATCAGGATTAAGCAGCTATCTAGTGCTTCCTGGTTTTTAGTGGTACTTCATCTGATTTCATTCCGTAAGGAATGTAAACTAATCCTTACAATAAACCTCATTAGCAATTGGTGATTTGTTCTTAACGGGATTTATGCTCTAGCTATTCAAAATATTCATTTATTTATTTAAACACATAAACATTGGTACAAGGAGGCATCAGATATATATGCGCCACATAAATCTCCTTTGATTTGTGTAAGGGCTGGGATACTGCTTGGGTGCCCAGATGGTTTTCTTAAGGGACCACACCCAGAGCCTTTGACCTAAAGGTCTGATCCACAAGGCAGTGGAGCATCGTGAGGAGATGCAGTCTCATGGTAGCCAGTGATCAACGATTGATTCATACAACATTTGTTCCCTCAGGATACTGGACACCATGTGCACCACTGGTTTGGAATCAAAGTTTTCCAACTCCCCTAGGTGAACTTTCCGTGTCCACCAACTCGATTAAAGCGCCGGACATTTTCTCTTCGTCTTCCCAATTTCGTAAACAACACCTGTGATGCGAGAAAGCAGTGAGTAGGACTTCCCTGGGAGTGGTTGTATGCACGTGGCCATGTGAGAGCATTTCGAGTGGGAGAGCAAACTCTCATCACTCTCGGCCGTACTAGGGCATTTGGGGGCATTCGGAACATACTTTGCTGTTGCATACAAAGGTATCGAAAATTAACACTAACATAAATGATAAGATTATCATTTAAAAGTGATTGATGACTTAAATTTAGATTACCGGATATTCAATAGTTACCTTGAAGTAGTTAGTTAGAAAACGAATCGAAAAATCGCATCCGACAGATAAACAAATATTCGTTATGTAAGTGGTTTGTGAAGATTTGTTTACTTATGAATATCGATCATTTGATTTCAGTTCACTGATCTTGAATATCATTCTGGTACTAAGTTGATTTGTTTACAGTGTCATGGATGTGTATTTCCGAGGGATCGAAACAACTGTTTAAAGCTACCTGATTTCCAATGGTCTTCTAGCTGATGTCAGTCTATATAAAATCTATTTTATTTGGTTCATTTTTAAGTTATTCAATGAAATAAATTGTCTATCGATTTCTTCTTCACCGAACCTTTGTAGTCCATAAAATACTAATCAATGCAGTCTAGGTATACACCTCTATGATTCTGACTTTTCAATATATACTGTGAGCTTTATTTTCACAATAACTATCTTCTTAATTTATTTACATTTTAAGTTTTACGATTGTCAATGAACATTCAATACTTTTTAATTCTAGGAATTGGTCATTGCAGGAAAACAATTGCCATTTGTTTATCTTACAGCGTATATAGCTGTTGAGAAACTTCATGATATGCTATCCATGACTGCAAATCGTAAACGCCTAAAAGGTAAATAAGAACAATATATATAAAGTAATTTATATCGCTTTTGGCGGGTTCGCATTTAACCTGAACTCACGTTGTCTCCTGAGTGTGCGTTTATATGTCAAAAGCAATGTATGTAAAAGATTCTGAAAGTGATAAGAATAAGCGTTAAAGCAAGCAGACAACTGAGCAAGGACTCCAGTGTGTAAAGAGAATAATATTGGATACAAATATTTACAACAGCTCATATTGTCACAGTTTACATAGTTATCATCAGAGAAAGTAAATAATAATCAAAAATAATTGTATGAAAACCGTAGTGAAATACACTAACAGCATGTCAAAAGTGATGGATAGAGTTGATGCATGAAAGCCTAAAATATTATGATCCTAATGTTTTGAAGAATAAAAAGATCAAATAAATGCAGTTGCATTTTTATAATTAATTATGCCATATTGCACCTGAAGTCTTTAAATATTAGTTTGAGTTACCTTATGAATAATAAGTAGTTAGTTTGTACGTTCAGTTTCACGACTGAGATGAACACTTAATAATGACTATGTGATCGGATGAAACATCCTGATCTTGTCATTACCAACAAGTCTTGTAACTCAGTTCCATACTGATTAGCAGTCGTGTATTTATTCAGAGTTTACACTTATTCGGTGAGTTGTCCATCACCAACTTTAAATATGTCACAATTATGAGTCAGCCCAAGTTATCACACTATATTAGCTGAGCTAGATGAAGTTGATAAGATGAAAGGCATAGGTCACAATCACATTAAAACTAAACATGGAGAATATGATTCGGTAAAATAGAGTAAAGTAAGGAGATAAAAAGTACAGAATATTATGGGAGCTTAAATTTTATGGGAAAATAAAGAATAACTGCATCTGCATAACTGTAACAGACTTTGAACTATGTCACTTTGCATTTCCATTCATTGATTAAGGTTACTACACAGACGTAACTGTAGATCATTGAATGTGTGTCGTGAATTTCGATAATTAGGTGACAGTTTCAGTGGCATTTTTTTCCTAACCACTTACTTGCTACCAGTTACTAGACATTGCTACCGATGTTTTACAGGTATAACAGTTGCATGCTTAACTTTTTCACAATTTATAAATGCATATTGTTCAAGAGCCATTCATTTTCTTGACTCTTTATGGGATGTGAATGAATACTGAACAATCAGTAGTTAATTAGCTAAAGATTTAATATTTATTTACAAAAAATACGATTGCCATCAAATATTTAAATAGAGAAAAGACTGTATTAAAAACAATACAACCGTCATCATAGAGGTTCTAGTCACTTTTGTATTTTGTTATGTTCCCGATTCTGCAGTTAAATACTTGAAATTGGCAACTACTGCGATTCCCACAACGCAAAATAAGAACTTAGAATACTGTTGATAGGATTGTGTTTGACACCAAAAATAAAAGACAACGATATCTGAATATACTACTTTCTGTATGATTTATTTACAGTCAGATTTGTGTGAACTAAACTGAGTAGTAAGCAGAGATGGATAGTGGCTAGCAGTGGAATCCAGGACGCGCGTTTCGTCTTATTTGGGACTCGTCAGCTGGATGTACCTGCGTCTCAGAGTTGATGTTCACTCTGGGACTCGAACTCAGTACCCTCGCTTCAAACGCCATCGCGTTATCCACTCGGCCACTGAGTCCTGATAGCCACGTGCTTGTGCGATGGGGGTGAAGTTTAAATACATTCAGTATTGTTTGTTCGAATCTTCCCATCGATTTGTTAGGAGTGCAACTGGTCAGTGGATAACGAGATGGCGTTTGAAGCGAGGGTACTGAGTTCGAGTCCCAGAGTGAACATCAACTCTGAGATGCAGGTACATCCAGCTGACGAGTCCCAAATAAGACGAAACGCGTGTCCTGGATTCCACTGTTAGCCACTATCCATCTTTGCTTACCATGCTTGTGAATTTAGGCTACATAGAGGCAATACGTACAGAATGCACATATACCAATTAGTGACTGACCAGTTGCAGTCCTAAAACATCAATGGGAAGATTCAAACAAACAATACTAAGTGAATTTGAACTGAGTAGTATTTAACACCAAGTAATCAATAACTTACTGATTGGGCACATATTTACAGTATAATACAATTAACCATCTGTAATCAACAGATATGAATATTTGATTAAGTTGTATGATTACTCTTTCTTAAGATGTGATTGTATGTCACAAACTATTGAGAAAAAATAATTTCACTCATTACTCTCATTCAAATCAATGAAGTCCTTGCACGCCGTTTCACGTTTAGTTGTCCATGTTTGTGCTTGTTTTCAATTTGAAGTGTGCATAGCTACTGAAGGTTTGATCTCACCAGGCTATATACAAGGCTGTATTTCATAATGCAGTATATGGGTCTGTGTGGGGTTGTTGAGTTGTGCTCCATGGACATCAAGTGATGTACAATACCATGACGCGGAAATCTACTTCACATAATTAAATTTTATCGCTGACCGATATATTATGTATGAATGAAATAAGTATTACATAACGATTAATGAATTGGATTTAACTTCTCTGTGGTTTTTTCAGACACCCGTGTAGAAGAAAGCAACAAAATTCGATCCAAGTACCTTTATAGATCCAGGAAGTCTAGAGTAAGGTAAGCGGTTTTATTGTTGATCATGTTTCAGTTATTATCACTACTTATTTTATGTATCAGAATATATGGTCAATGATCTCTTTGTATGCCAATGACAAGTTTGACTGGGACAATGAGAATATCCTAGAGGGCACAAACTCAAGAAATATGGGGGAATGCTTGTAGACTTGGTATTCAAATGAAATAACTACCAGCCAAAGCATAAACATAAACTCAACATACATATTACCTGTCAGAAGACAAGGAAGCATTATGTCATTGAAAGTGGTTCTCGTTTCGGCTCATCAATAGATCAAACAAGTTAATGCGCTGCTGGAAATAATCCTGGCCGCACAAACCTATCAGACTTATGGTCAATAAATGATTCACCCAGAAATTTGCTAGACCTGAAATACTTTGCTTCCTTATCATCTTCACCAAAAGGACTACGTCACATGCGTAATTTGATTCAACAAGTGAATCTCATGGTAGGAAATCAATTCTTGACGACTAGAGCGTTGTCACCAACTTATTATTTTGAATAGATTTCATGATATCCTTAGATTTTATTACTCGGTTAATTTGGTTGAACATACAAATTAGTGTATCAATTAAAATCGTTGAATAGTGTAAATGAAAAACTTTGTCACTAGATTAGTCTTGATCAAATAACTCATTCTATTAAGCTGTTTCCTCCTGAACCATATATCTAACAAACTAAATTAATGATAATTGATTTATTCAATACTGAACATATGATCATAGTAGATAAATCTTAGCACAAATTTGTGATCTTGCAACAAATTCTTATTTAACATATATTTGGTTATCAGAAGGGGTTTTGTGGAGATTTAGTATTTTGATAGTTGAAAGTGTGAATCAATTGAAGCTAGACCACCATGGAAAACCTGGAAGCACTGGACGGCCGTTTCGTCCTATTATGGGACTCCTCAGCAGTGCACATCCACGATCCCGCACTCACGAGCTTCAAACCCAGGACCTACCAGTCTCGAGCCGGAGCCCTTAGCTGATAGACCACTGAGCCGGTATCCAACGGTGTTAATGTCTAACTTCAACTGATCCACGAAGTTGTGCAACCGTTCACCAATTGTCTTCAGTGAGTTCTTATCTCACAACAGACGTGGTTTGAACTCCACTGGTTTCTTACCGTTCAAAATACATTTTTATTCACAGGCAATTATTGATCAGTTTTGCTTTCTGAAACTCATTTTATGTCGTATAATAATAAGTTTGATAGATGAATTCCATTACAATGCAACAGTTACTCGTTTCTCTAAAGACGCCATAAGAAGGGTAATCTGCCAATTGTTTTGATGATTCTGTTTAAATTTGTCAATAATTATTTTTACGATAAGCTGTAACTGCTTTATGAAACCGCTTGGGTACATCAGGTGGTTGTAAGAATACAAATTAATCAGTTAAAATAAATTCATATGGTTTTTAAGAAGTGGGAAAATGGGTGGTTTAGAGGGTTTAAAGAGTTAGAGGAATTCAAAACTGTGAGGATGGTTTCAATGAGTTTTTACCTGTACTGTGCAAAATATTGCTGAACCATGGATTCAGATAGATGTCTGTTTTACTATTAATAAGTGAATCGATTAGATTCATTGAACATCTTCTTTGTGTCGGCTGTAGTGTGTGGATCGTTTGTAAGATATACTGTAATAAAGTTCACTGTATCATAAGACTTTGGTTCAATGGACAATAGACTAAGCAAAATATCTAAGTCATCAAACACTGATTGGATTAACATACCAGGTACTCGAAGACTGTTCATTATCGTTTATTGAATATACGTTCTTCTGGAAGTGATTTGCTAGTTGTTACTCTTTAGATTCAGTTAGCCACTACAAATACATACATCTTTATTTTGCTTTCAGATCTTTGAACATTAGTAAGGAGCTATTGAACAAATACCTATTAGCTTTAACTAAAGCTATGAGCTTGTCAGCTCGTTACAATTTATCTCCTATACGTTGTTCAGTTTTGGTTATTTGTTCTTTATGCTCAGGATTTGAGCTTCAAAAAATTAGGAGATCTACTAGAGTGAAAGCTATCGTAAGTTGAGATTTTCCCCCTATGTATCATTACTTGTATTCAGTTGGTTTGTGAAGTGAAGCTGGTTATATTTTACTTAAAATAAAATGCCGATAGTGTTGCTAGTTTACTGGTATATATTGATGGATAATCATCATTCAGGCTGAATTGTACGTTGATTAAGCTGATTGACTGAATGATGTATTCCGGACGAATATATTAGTGGTCTTCAATCTCACTGACAAAAGCTATATATTACAGGTTAAGTAAATTGAATCGACTAACTGGCACAGCTTCATAGGTAAACCTAAAGCTGTTGTGGATCCCTAGGCGTTCGAAATTTCTATAGGAAAATAAGTGAATTAATGTTGGTGGTATGGCTTGTTTGGTTTTCTGGTTGTAAAGCACGAGTGATATCTCTGAATATTACTGAACAATATAACTTTCAGGGTTTGATGTAAGTGGGTTCACCATTCTTTCCTTCTTCTTTCACAATTAATAATTAACGAGATGATTGCCAAGTAACAGAAAATTATCATACTAACAGTAGTGAAAAGCCACCAGTGAAATGTAACGTAGAAGCGAAAAAGTATATTCATTTTGATGGTATTGATATTTGTGTATGCTATCGACTGTCCACAAATTATGCCCGTTTGTGCTCACAGTATTTAACACAATTATCAAAGGGTCAGTTTACTTATTACTGGATCAAAGGATTAGCGTTTGATCTCATCTGTGTTGCTTTAAAAACATGGCATTATCACTTATAGTTGCACCAAGTTCCAGGTTCTAACTCGCTCCACCTTCTCCGGCTTAAGTATCATTAGTCACCACACCTATAGTGTGGCTCATTCCCAAGTAACTGGTGAACGAGTTAATGTATTGTTATTATTTTACCACATTTGTTATGGCTCTCCATCTTCTAACGATGAAAATCCTATGGTGTGACACAAATACCTATCAACACAAGTTGTTCTGTACCCCACATCCAAACAGAGAGAAAAACTGGAACATAAACATTGGATTAGTGGAAATGATTACATAAATGTCAATACTTTTAACTCCTTTTGATTTCAACTTTCGATGATGATGTGAAATTCGGTGATACATACATGCATACTTATAGATATTTTGTGCTAAATTCTATGGTATGTTCAAATATGCCAACAGAAAATTATTGGATTGTTGTTTCTTTATAGTTAGTGCATAGTCTGGTTGTGGTGAACAACACACGATTGGGGACAATCGAGTGTATTTAAGGACAAATTACAGACTATCTCACTAAATTCTGTTAACCATACAGCAAACAGTTAATTTGCAAATTAACAATCAATTATCTCAATCTTCATTGTTCCTTCTATAAATATCAGTTCATCTTCTCTAATTAGATTGTTCTTACATTTTCCTACCAATCGCGCTTCATTTCAGTTCTTTCCTTATCGGTGTTCTGCAGAAATACATTCTATGTCTGACCATCACAATATACTACTTATATGGATATAAGTGGACCACACTACATGGCTTACTAATTTTGTTCGTTTTGAGAATTGCCTCGACATTTAATGTTCATTAAATTTTGTTTAGGAGTGTATTTCTACAAAATCCTTTCTTTCTTTCTTATTCTCTCTCTCTCTCATTTTTCTGTCATTTAGATAAATGTGTTAAGCTTTATTTATGGTGCAATATGCAATGCAATATGTGAAAATGCAGTCGTTTATTTTGTAGTGGATAATGACTATAATGTCGCTTCCATTAATAGAATGTTATTACTGTTATATGGTTCACTATGGCACACAGAGGAAAATAAAAAAGACACATCATTGTTTCGATCAACGAACCTACCATTAATGGATAAGATAAAACTGATTTATAAAAATCGTAAAGTGAGCATTTTATTTTTTAATTTTGCTGTTTGATCGTTTTGTCATTCAGTAGTTGTTAATGTACACTAATAATTCCCCTCATCCCCCGTTTCTTCACCAAATAATCATCAATAAAAGTGACACATTATTTCAAGTCACTCAACCGTCAATTGCAACAGAGTTAGCATGATCGATTGAATTATGTTGCATTGAAATGCTTCTTGGTTTCAGTCTGTTGGTGGTTCCAGGCAAATCGTTTCAAAAGTAACAAAATAATGAAATCAGTATGTGCTTTATCGAATAGACTTATTTTTGAAACATCAATGTAATGTTCGTGGATGCATATTTTAATTTTGGTCAGTAGCTAGTACTCAGTATCTTGAAAGCATTCCTGTAGATGAATCGTAACTCACAAATAAGCTTTGCCATCTTCGTTTGAGCAAACAACCATTGGTAGGGGTTTTAAGTAAACTGTGAGGGAACGATGTTTCTAGAAAAAAGCAAATATTATCAGTATAATTATTGCTAGTTCATATCTAGTTCTTACATACCTGTGTTGTCAGTGACTTCAGTTTAGCTTAATACCTCAAAGAATATTCGTCCACTTACCACACTTTGCTAATTTTTACTTCTGAGAATAAATACTTTATGGGTTTTGCTTGGTTGGTTGAAGTGTGATATGGGGACTGGTGAAAGCATTTCATATGACAAGGAAATACTGATTATATTCTGAATCACCTGTCCAAAAGCAACCGGTTAAATACTTTAGTCGAAGTTCTTTGTTTCATTTCTGAACAGAGTAAAGGATTAACACTGATACTAATTCTACATCTATGTTGATGTTGTTAACATCTAATCCCTAGATTTCATTGATTTTGACATTGAAGATGATCTTGAAAGTAATGCCTTACTTGTATACTGCTATTCTGGTTTAATGTTTCTTTTTGTAGACCAAATGGTTTGTAATCTCTTTATATTTGACTGAAATGGCTAAACTAGGCGTATAGAAGCATAGTTTTCGTTAATAAAAGGTGTCCTAGTTGTTTAAGGAGTTAAAATTTCAGCTATTAAGTCACAGAGTTGTGACCTCACTTGATCTACTTCAATTTGATCAGTCGGTGAGTATAACTCACAAAGTATATGGACCTCTCGTTGATGAGTGTACACTGCCAGTGTTCCATTACAATTTCCTTAACCTTTGTACTTCTATCAACCTTACTTCTACTGCCTCTTGAAATTGTTTTTTAAATATTTTTTTGCCTTCACAGTCATGGGAAAAATATTCCTTATCATTAATACTGGATAGGTTTAGTGCATTTCGCAAAGAGGTTGGTTTTTCAACAACTCAGAATGCTTGATAATATTTTGTCATGTTGAGTCTATTTTCTATGTATTTGATTTAATACTAACCATTTGTTATATATGGAAACGAAGCTATATCATTCTGTGAGTCAGTTTCTTTTAATTTGAGAAAATGTGATGAATTCATAAAATCAACCTGACTAAGAAATTTTGCTTATTATGTAGTTTGAATTCAGTGTTAGAATATGAAGTGAATGAAATATGGTCAGTTATTTCTATTGAATCATCACTAGTTTTGTTTCGTTGGATAAATAAATCAAGCTGACAGTTTTATGATGAATAAAGAAGTTTATGACTGGATTCTCGAACCTGCTCCATCTGTTCTGTCAAAATCATTGTTTTATGTCAATGAATAGTTGAATGTTTATCATAGTATGATACTCAGCTTGTTGAAATATAATAGAACATGGGCTGTGAAACTGGAATAAATAGTGAAAGTTTTCGGAATCAAATGGATATGCGCTTCATTCAAAAAACACTTGGACTTTTTTAAGGGTGGATGGTGGCTAACAGCGGAATCTAGGACGCACTTTTCGTCCTATTTTCGGTTTATCAGATGAATATACTTACATCCCAGAGTTGATATTCACCCCAGGACTCGAACTTAATACCGTTCGCTTCAAATAGGACGAAACACACATCGTGGATTCTACTGCTAACTGCTATCCATCTGTGCTTAAAAAATGCTTGTGATCTGTAATGGCAATATCGAAGCAATCTGGAAAAGACTCATATTTGCCAAAAAGAGACTAACCGATTGCAGTCCTAAACATTAATGGGAAGATTCAAACCATCAATACATATGACTTAGACTGTATTCAAAGTTATTAATGTACAGTGTGTTTACTTTTTGCGTATCGAAGTTTATCCATAGATAACTTACATTTCATGGAAGCCAATCGTGAGATAAGCATTGGTTACATACTGTTTCTCGGCACGTTCTGTGGTCCCCAAATGCCCTGGTACGGCTGAGAGTGGAGAGAGTCCACTCTTCCTCTCGAAATGCTCTTACATGGCCAGGGACGTCCTACTCACTGCTTTCTCGCCCCAAGGATGTTGTTTACGAAATTGAGAGTACAAAGGGCAAATGTCTGGCGCTTTAACCGGGTTGGTAGACACAGAGAGTCCACCTAGGGGAGTTGGAAAACTCTGATTCCAAACCAGTGGTGCACATGGTGTCCAGTATCCTGAGGGAACAAATGTTGTATGAATCAATCGTTGATCACTGGCTACCATGAGACTGCATCTCCTTACGATGCTTCATTGCCTTGTGGATCAGAGCTTTATGTCGAAGGCTCCGGATGTGGTCCCATAGGAAAACCCTCTGCTTTGGTCTGAGCACCCAAGCAATATCTCAGCCCTTACACAAATCAAATGAAATTTGTGTGGCGCATATCTATTTGGTGCCTCCTTGTACGAATATTTATATGTCTAAATAAATAAATAAATAAAAAATACGTTCTGTGCAGAGAGTTATAACTGGTTTTACAAGACCCTGGAAAGAGTGATAACAGTCAAATGGATGATATCATGAAAAATTCACTGTATATAGTCAACTGTTATTGGAACATTTGGTAACCGAAATACTACTTCATATCTATTCCATATTTTTTCTTCGATCTCGAACATATGGATGGACGTTGTGTCTGCAGTTTGATAAAGTCATTGTATTTGGAGATTGCCCTGACAGCATTGCAAAATATGTTGTGAATTACCGAGCAAACATTGGTCCCATCAAAGCTATTTGGAATAATCTTAGTGGGAACGATAAATGGTGAGATTGAAATAATATTACTCAAACTTTTTAGTGCGTTTATTTAGTTTCCTTTATGATAAGTGGATTTTAGGGTTAGATGGGTTACAGTAAACAACAGGAACTAATTAACTTTGATTTCAGTTTTCTTCTGTTAATCGGCAATTGAGTAAAATCCTAATTCATTCAAATTCGACATAAATGCGGAGACTTTTTGTAGGGACCTACTTAGTTACTTGCTCCTGTCACCCCTCGCAAAGCATAGGCTGCATGCCAGTATTCTGCAATCCACTCTATCCAGGGCACTCCTTTCTAGTTATTTACAAGTGCTATTCATTATTTTCATGTCTACCCCCAATTCCTGGTGCGATATATTCTTTGGTTTACCTTTTTTCTTTTCTATTTGGGGATTCTAAGTTTGTGCTTTCATTGTGATACGGCATACTGGTTTCGATAAGTGTGCCCTACACATCTCCAGCTTCCTTTCCTAATTTCCTTCTCATCTGACAGTTGGTTCCTTCTATAACACAGTAGGTTACTACTGATGGTCTCTGTCAAGTGAATCTGGAATACCTTTCATAGACAGCTGTCTACAAATAATTGAACTTTTTTGATGATGGTTGGTGCAACTCTCCAAGTTTCAGCTCCGTATGGCAAAACAATCTTGATGTTTGTGTTGAAAATTCTGATTTCTTTATTGGCTGATAGTTGTTTTGAATTGCAGATGTTCTTCGGTCGTTGAAATGTTGTCTTTACTTTGCAGATCCATGCCTTCACATCTGCATCAGATCCTTCTTGTTTATCAATGATACTAGCTAGGGGCATAAAACCTGTGGAACTCAAATCGTCTGGCTACATCCGAGCTGTCTATTGTATTTCGTGCTTCCCCTCAAATGTGGAGGTCTTCATAATCCAGTCAACCACCAGAAGAAAGAGAAATTAGGAAAGTTCTCCCTTGTCGGACTCCGGTCCTCACTTGGGATGCATCTGTCAGCTGTTCTCCATGCACAACTTTACAATGTAACCCGTCGTATGAATTGCGGATGGTGTTGACGATTTTCTCAGGTGCATCGTAGTGTCGAAGTAGGTTTTGTAAGGTTCTCCCATCCGCGCTGTCAAACGCCTTCTCATAGTCAAGGAAGTTGATGTATATTGACGAGTCCCATTCAATTGATTGTTCAATGATGCTTCGTAGTGTGGCGATTTGGTCTGTGCATGATCAATCCTTACGGAATCCGACCTGTTGATCTCGAAGTTGGGCGACTACTGAATCTTTCATCCGGTTGAGCAACATTCTGTTGAAAACTTTTCCTGGTACCAATGATATTGTAATGCCTCTGTAGTTGTCACACTTTCTCAGATCTTTTCTTGGTATCTTGATGGGATACGCTTCCTTCCAGTTCGTCGATGTCACTCTTTTGTCCTCCCAAATTTTTCTGAATAGAACGTAAAGCATGTTTTCGGTTGCTTCTACATCTGACTTTAGTACTTCGACTGGTATTTTTTCCAGGTCTTGCTGTTTTTCCACTCATGATGGCCACTCTGATTCCTTCGATATTTGGTGAGGTGACATGTATTTGAAGGTCTGTGTGTGCTACTTCGATATCCGGTGGGGCTGGTATGTTTAAGAGTTCTTCAAAGTTCTGTACCCACATGTTCCCCTGTTTTGTGATCGGTTTGCCTTTGTCCTTGACTGGTCTCTCTCGTTTACTATATTTCCCTGCTAGTTTTAGCATATGTTATATATATATATATATATATATATATATATATATCTTCTAAAAATAATCATAGAATTCATGTCGGTTTGCAAGGATGATTAGTTTGATATAGATAGTAACTTTAAAGGTAAATGATAGATGGATGATATGAGATTGTTTGAAACATTATAGTTCAAAAATTGTTTAGGTAGTATATTTTCCACATTCATTACAACCGTGCAAAGTGTCAGTCGGGAACCGTTCATTCTATTTAAGTGGATATCCTGTTGATGGATAAATGGTGTATTTAAGGTAATTTTCAGTGCCATAAAGGAGTCATTATAGCCGCATAGAATTGAAGAAAACGAAACGGAAACATAGAGCTCAGAACAATAACAGCAATAATTTCTGTGATAGGTCTATTGATATGCATGTGCCATGTTGTTTTATGACCAACTGTTTGGATTATATATTACTTGAATGAGTTAAGTGTACCAGGGATGGTACAAGTGTAAAATATCTGCAGTTAGGGAGGTTTAAAGAGTGGGCTTAGTAACATTAACGACCAAACATTTAATGTTCCTGTAATTTACTAGTCGAATAGGGTGTACCTAAAGGTGTAAGGAAACATTAAGTACTTTCAGAAGATAAGTAAGCATCAGTACAACGAACGAAGGATAGTACTAATTTTATTTCAGAGACAGATTGCAGCCAATTATTCCACAGTCTAGCAAATCTAAGTAATTAATATGAAGAGAAGATTAAAATTGGGATCGTTCCACTGAAGGTAATTTGTTACGGTTGGTATAACCAAGAGTTTCTGCATATTGAATTGGATAATTAGATATAAAAGATAGTTGACTAAGTATTCTGAAGAAAAAAAAGCAAATACAGTTTCAGTTCCCGTTCCATAAAGGTTGATTGCAAGCATATTTCATCTGCATTTGTAGTTTAAGGTACTGTCAGTCCCAAAAATTCGAAGTGTAATTCGCCTACGAACGGAAACCAGACTTAATTTGTCGCTTATCCGAACACCACGATCATTGAGTTGAGATCCACTGCTTAACATTTCTGATTCGAGTTGCCTAACTGAAGTCACTCCATGATGTGAACTGCAAGAGTCCTGTACCAATAAAATATTGTATTACAAACTAAAATGTATTAAGTTTATCAATCAGTTATAGTAGAGGTGTTATGATTGCTAGTATATTTAGTGTTAACTTTTTCAATACACACGCTGGTCATGTATAAATACCTTCTTTTTTTAACTTAATCTTATTGAGATTGTATTTAAAAAAAGCTAGCTCAGCGTAATTTGAACTACAGTGTTTACAGAAAAACACATGACCTACAATCCCTGACAAGAATATTAAGGTCTAATTGGTGAAAATCGAATGCCTAACATTTTAAACACATTCAGGTCTGAACAGTTAGGTCATGGGTTGGAACCCCGATCCAGTTAGTTTAGTTTGAAATCAAAGTTGATGGATGTTGGTCTGTATTTCATTGCTAACATGCGTCAACTGTAATTTTCCATCATACTTATGTAGTTAGTGGTTTTCGAGACACGTGTATGATAAATAATTTTCATCCCTTTAATTCTAGTTCATTATTTATTGATTAATTTTCCAAAGGTGCACTTCATTCCCAATGACGGGATGGATTGAATCAAAAGGATTAGTAGATAGTGTCTTCAAATATTTATCGTTACCGGATGACAAATGTTTAGTAGAACAAATCGATAAAATTGATGAAACTTACCAACTGAATACCATGTTCGACCTACCTCTTCAAATGAACATATCAAGCGAACAACAAGGTCATAATAAACTTTCTCAAATGAAATCAACTCAGTAAGTTGTGTTCATTTTTATTTCAAGTTTATAGTTGCTTACTGTACCAATAATTAATTGATTATTTGATAGAATGTTAATTGAATTATCACTATCTAATTGTGTTCATACAAACAATCGTGTTTGTTTAGTTTTTACGTCCATTGGCTTTAATGTTTAAACGATTCTGAACGTGATCTCCATTGATAGATCGCTATTAAAATGTTCGACTATTGAACCAGATGTTTTAAGTGTCAGCTACACTTTATTTTAGCTCTATAAAGTGTTAACTTTCAAAAGTGTTCATGAGCACAAAAATTATACACTGAATATGAAAACAAGTATTTTAGAGGGGAGATTGAATAGACGGTTAGAAGTTTATAGTTGTGTTTTCTATACTACAAAGTTTTCGTTTCTGTTGCGATTTTGAACAAGAGGATCTCGAATCCGGTTTGGGTTAGAAGGTTTGTCACTTCCCGACTGATCACACACAGCGAAAAAATACTTGATGAGGGACCTGAGAAGGAAACTGAAACAAAAGTAGTGGCATTGACAACTCAGGAGTGTGACTATAGAATGCTAGAATCAACTGTTTTAGACCAGTTATGTTCGGAATTTTTTGAGTAGGTTTTGTTGTCTTGGCTCTGTGAGTTTTAGGCCTTTCCCACCGATAACGGAAATCTATGGAAAAGGTGAGTTGTTCTATTTATAGGACCGAACTTTTCCAAACCCCTTTCCCTGTTGTTGGAGGGTAGTATCGATATATATTGTAGTTGTTTGAGGGAAACACCTTACTAACATCATACCTTGCATTCGGTGGTACGACTTTTACCTTGGATTGTTATTTTGATGCTTTAGGTCCTGACACTCTCCGATCAATCTGTTTGCCATGTTAGGATCTAAATGAATGAGTGTGGTTTCACTAGATCGTCATGAGATGCAAACTGCCATCACCCAGAGAGATACTTGAATTACCACAGTTCAGTAATGACATTACTAAAGAGCAAATAATGTAACTCTTTACACCCTAATTATCATCAAAGTTTCAACAGTAAGAATTTAGTTAAGCAGTTGCAATAACTGTAGCACAATGATTGAAATAAAATTTCATATCATATATGATACTTTAATATTTGTTTGTTTGTATAAATTATCTTGTTCTTTGTATTAACTTAGAGACAATTTCTGCCGCGTGTATATATCATCATCTTACATGGACATGCATGCGGAACGTGATCTGATTTACCATACTTTAGTGCCAAATTTGTGTCAAAATGTTGCACAAACGTACAGTACTTGCATTGATCTAGTTGATCTACGTATTGGTGTTTCTGAAACAATTACCTGTAGTCTTATGGCTTTGGAAATGTATTTAAAACAAGCAGCCGCCTCTGATATATTTGTTTTGTTATTGGGTGCCAAGTGAGTATCCCTTATGCATATATATTGCAGTCATTTTCTTACTGCAAATATAATTGTTTATCATAATATGAATATGTATATTCTTAGGAACGCGTATTTTTCTATGTAATCTGAATATTCACTGTTCTAAAGGACAAATATTAAACTCCTAGAACAACCGATAACAGTCGTGTTCGTGCATATTTGTTATTCCTGTCAATAATTATGTTCATAATGAATTTGAGATGAATACAGTGAAAGGCGCTTGATAGCTTACTTTTGTTTATGAAGTTGATATATTTCATACAGCGGACGCTGTAGATGCTGGCTCCCTTGACACCTCCCAGACCTTCACATTTTCAATATTTGAGCCTGAAACTGAAATCAGGTGAAAAATATAAGAGAGTGGATTTTGAAAGATTACGAATTTTCCTGAGGTGCTAGAGGTTTCGAGAAAAGGTTCTAGAATTGTCGTTGGATGTAGTGATTGTCCAACCAGGTTCAGCAAACATAATGAGATGGTTTCTAGATGTTTATAATACGCTACTCACGAAAATCGATTAGTCAAATTGGTTTTTACACTTATTTCGGCTTATGTGGAATTTTCTTAAATAAAATACTCAGTGTTTACTGCAGACGTTAACGAATGACGTCTCGACAATCAACGCATCGTTGAGGTGATTTTTAAACAAAATTGACTGTATAACAAATGTTGTCTATTAGATTGATCAAACGAAAAGACATTAATCTGTGTATATCATGTAAAATGTCCAGATATTCACTTAAATTGTCTAATCTCTTCTTTTACCTCTGATACTGTTACTAGCTCCACTACTCTGGGATAAACACTAACATTACCATCTGTTTGAGCTGATGGGGTACGTCAACTTGAACTGATGTACATACGTACCAGGTTCCACATTACAATCGACTGACTGAATAGCTTACAAAATATACCGAATAATAATGAACGAGTGATTTTATATGAAATTGTAAATCGTAATGTATTTGGAAGAAATTGAAAGGTGATGCAACATCGCGTATGGTAAAGTTTCTTTCAAATGAATGAATATTACCGAAATGAAAATGAATCAAAGTAGATCCTATCTGAAGATGATCAAGAAGTGTAACTCACATTTCAACAAATTCCTAGTCTAAGCAAAAGTCTAATGTTTCCATACAATACATATACTATGAGACAGTCATATGATGCAAGCAGTTGTTAACATATTGACTAAACGATAATGTAGTTGAATTTGTCAGCGTGTTAAGTATCTGTTCACTGAAAAAATGTTTAGTTTTATTTCGTCTTGATTTTTCGACAGATATGGTTGGGTTCCCGATGAATCGCTAGTTAGAGCATTGCCTGATTCACTTTTAGCTGAAGTCAATAAATTTTACAAGCCTGGAATGTCTGTCACAGAAATGGAATATCATATGGTGAAACTAGCTGCCGTAAATAAATTGTCCAGAACAGGTTTCAGCATGTTTCCTTCTAGAATGTTTGTATTCATTCGAGATTTTAACACAAGGTTTGTTTCCTTATTTCGAAATGTCTCGTTATCAGTTGTTACTTGTAATACTTTGATGAATCTGTTTTACATTTATAAATGCATCTTTATAGTTAGATGGTTGTCATCTCAAATTGTGATCAGTCGAGTGAATGTTATGTATTGATGATTACTGTGCTTAAAGTATAGTTTCTTACTTAAATCGACTCATTTAACCTGAATTATTGCGTCTGACTTTTCAGTAGTGGTAGCCTCTAGGCTTGTGATTCCGAGTACCATTTCTTAATGGCAGAAAACTGATTTTTAAAAATCGTAATTTAAGTTTTTGGTCATAAGATTGGTAAAGTTATTGCCTTTTCCTCTAAATATTTGATTGTTAATTGAGCGTCTCCAGATGCTCTTACTTTCTGTATTGGTTCCCATATATACTGTAATAACATGAGTTCGAGTTATTGGTTAGGATATAAATGTTTACACGTGGTTAGTGAACTGGATACCTTTAATTGAAAGAAAGATCTCAAAATCATTTTTGACGTTGGCATTGGGTTGAAAATACTCAACATACAACTGTAATAATCGAAATGAATCACCTTTAGTAATTATTTTGCGGCTAACATCAACATTTTTCACTACGTATTTTTAGCCCCAACATACAATACTTCGAGGTTGTCTATGATAGAATATTTACTACTTTCAAAAACACCATAATTTACTTTAAAATGTAATGTCTTTCAGTGAGGACAACTGTGTTACAGTTGGAGTAATTTAGTGTTCGTCTAAAGGATTTATTGACCGTCGTTCCTCCAAGACTGATTAAACTATCAAAGAAAGTCAATTAATCAACTTCCCCAAATAATGCATCATATATTCCTAGGTGAAAAGTATTTCAAAACTTCAACATCATAACCCAATATACTCGGAAGAGTTTTCATTTGTCAGCGACTCTATATTGCTTGCTTGTTACAATCCTATTGGAGAATCTCGATAACAAGAACAAGTCTTACTTACAGAAACTTACTGAGAAACTGAATTAAAATAAAGAAATAAAAACAGATTTGCTTAACAACACTTGATGTAACTACTTCGTGTGACAACTCATTGCAAGCTCTGATCATATCACAATTTTTCAAATGAGGACTCTTTAATATGATGACGTACTCGTTTATTCTACATATTTCAGCAAAATGCTGTCACGATACCTCTCAGGTAGATTTAAATATCACTACATCTACTTTCAATTTTTAAGAACGTAGCTAAAGTGAAGTATGGATAAATTTGTTTGTCGTAAAGCCTGATTAGGAAGTCTTCCATTTGTACTTTTCATGTCAGTCTGTTGACATTCTACTTAGAGTGCAGAAAACTCGTTTGGTACCTTTTGAGTGTACTTGACAAAACTATATTTCGGGTGTAATTCATCATTATTTACGCACTTTTGTAAAAGCTTATCCCACATGAAAATATCTTTCTTGAAATAGAAAACGTTTATTAAGAGAACTGGGTTGTTTTGTTATAGTAAGTCAATACGCTTGTTCCGTCAATGTGATATTCTGAAAACTATCGAAATGTAAGAATTTAATGTCCATTTCCTTTGAAGAATCCATTCACTTTATATATTCTGTTGCATTTCCTTTTTTGTTGTATATATAATACCACTTGGAATATCTAATAAATCTATACTGTCCTTCTTTGTTAACTACGAAATTGTAATCCTTTTCTATCATTTCTTTTAACATACGTAACCTACTTCCCATATTATTCATAGTGCATCGAAAAATCAGTTTCGGTTAATCTTGTTAAGATCATTTTAAAAGGCCTATGTCATCAGAATTACTATCGAAATCAAACATAGTATTCTTTTTACCAAACTTTTTAGTGATATACCGAATGAATATGGACAAATATTTCGTGATCACGATCCAGTCAATCTTCATCACCTCGATGCGTTCAAACAACTCTTACTGAATGATGGAGTTTCTATCCTCAGGTATTCTAGTTTAATTCAGTGTGTTGTTTAATTATTCTTGGCATGGCTCAAAATACATATTTCAACTCTTTTTTTTTCAGGCGATCACTTTCTGCTGGAATATACTTTTTTAGATCATATGATTAGGCTTGTGAAATTAGTGTATCTCCTGTTGACACCACATTTTCCGCGATGGATAAATTGGTCATAATGCTTTGACTGTCTTTCTAGGCAGGAAAAATCAACCTAAACATCACAGGGGAAGATATTTTTGAATATTCTGTTTTCTGGAGATTCTTGATAGATCCCACTGACTATTTTTATCAGCTTTTGTGAACACTCCATGTAAGCTTAAATCCCTCACATTGACGATAGTCTATAGAAACACATTTTGCATCCTTCATTATTATGAAGAGAATTGTTATCTATGTCACTCTTTAGGGTCTTGATCCACGATGTGACTTTTTTCAGTAACAAAATTTTGAAAGCTTTTTTGAGAACCTGTGTGGTTGTTCACTGAATAGCACACTTGTTCTAGTTCAATTTCATAACTACTTCCAATTAAAATGATATGGAAAATAGTAAAACATGTTACATAGACTATCTCATACTCCAATGATGAAAAATCTGTTTTATATTCCATTTGATAGTTTTTTTATGAAACGTCTTTTGGTTTGGAAAGATTATCATATAAAATCTTGTTATCATTTCAGTTATTCTGCTCAATTCATTGGTGTAATTGATGACCGTCCGATGGTGGGAAATCTAGATAACTTTGCAAGTCAATTTCTATCAACACTAGAATCAACACTCAAGAGATTATATCATAACCCTGTAGGTTTGTTTTTTTGGTACTTACTCGCTAATCATATTTTTCCACTCAATTTATATTTGTCATAAAATACTGTTTTTTGTCTAAAAGTGATTACACGTGGCCATTTTTGTGTTCGTAATTCCATGTAGTTTGATATCAGCAGTTAGTTCTTATCGATGCTACCATTTTTGAATTATGCTGATAATTGTCTTTCATTTATTGGTAAATGAAAATCTGACTTACGCCTGTTACCGCTCTTGGCAGAGCGTAGGCCGCCCACTAGCATTCTCCGTAGAACTCTGTCCTGGTCAATCCTTTACAGTTGTTTCCAGTTGCTATTGATACTTTCGATGTCTGCTTCGAATTCTTGATGCAGTGTGTTCTTTGGTCTTCCTTTTTTCTGTTTCCTTTCAGGATTCCAAGTTAGTGCTTGCCTCATGTATTTTCCGATCAGTCTCTGCCACCTTCTTTTTGGTTTATCTTCCAGCTTATCAATACCCGGAAGATTTTTATTATTCTTTTGGTAACCTCCCATAGTAGGCTTTTGCTGATGGTATCTGATCGACGGACATAGAGTATCTTGCGTAGAAAATTGTTTATAAATACTTGTACCTTTTTGATGATTGTTGTTGTAGCTCTCCAATTTTCAGCTCCGTACTGTAGGGCTGTGTTGATGTTCGTATTGAAGATTTCGACTTTGATATTGGTTGACAGTTGTTTTGAGTTCTATATATTCTTCAACTGTAGGAATGGTGTCCTTCCTTTGCCAATCCTCGCCTGTACATCTGTATCAAATCCTCCTTGTTCATCGATGATGCTTCCCAGGTTCGCGAAAGATTCTACAGTTTCCAGAGTTTCTCCTCGTGAAAATATACAACCAAATTATTTCTTGATTTCGCCTTACAAATTGACGGATCTTTAATAATTTTAAAACATTTTGTACATGTCTTCTATAAATCATTTAATCACTAACTGACTACTACCTTACTGACTAATGCATATTATTTATAGTTTCATCAATTTCTTGTTGCAAATTTCAATAGGTAAACGACGCTTTTAAACTGCCAATGGTTACGTCATCTGATGATAATGATGAACTGATAAATATTTCAGAATTTTTTGCAACTTATGTAAATCCAATAGCTTGTGATATATCACCACGACATTTGTTAAATATACAACATGCCTTTAAAACAATGGCTGGACAATGTGTTCCGATATATTTCACTGGTCAACATATAAAATCTGATGAATCCTCAAGTACAACTTCTAAAAAAAAGAGAATTGAAGATAGAACATCAAATTATCAAAGTTAGTTTAGTTTTAAGAAAATGAAAATATTTTGACAACCTTTGCTATTATATAGTCTATCATATTGTCTAGTTGAATGCTTACTATGTAAAAGTTACAAACGAATCAGTTACAGGGTATATTTTTTTTAGAGGATGTATGTTATGAAATCAGAGAGCACTGGACAACTGTTTCACTGTATTATGGGAGTGCTTAATACTGCTCAAGTGTTTTGCATGAAATATGAGAGTTTTAGTTGTAATCAATGTTTTTGATCATGAGTGTGCACTGATAAACAGATTAATCTGTGATGAATACAACCTACAAATCAAACCAATCTTTTGTTATAGCTTGAAAGTGACTTTATGCTAAAAGATTGTTCTATAATTTTCTTGATTGTGTGTGATTTATGCCATGGATGTGAGTCATTTAATTCGGTTTATGTTTAGATTCTGGTTTATGAAGATGCATGCATAATAAGTGTGCTAGATAGATGTCTACATGTGGATTGTTCCATGTATTGAAAATGAGAAATTTTCGATACATCACCGGATATCGTTAGGCTTGAATTTTTGATTGATGATAACTGATGATTAGCGTCAACTGAACAGGGAGTCATCATTAGTGTAATTGATAACTTTTAATTAAGCTTCATTGGAGTTAACAGATATATGTGAGTACTGTTTAAAAGAGAAGCATTCCTACCAATGAAGAACATCCGGACCACAAAACTGTCAACTAACATAAAAGTCAGAATCTTCAATACAAACGTCAAGACAGTTCCACTGTACGGAGATGAAACTTGGGAAACTATAACAACCATCATCAAAATAGTACAAGTACTTGTAAACAGCTGTCTATGAAAAGTACTCCAAATCCATTGGACATAGACCATCAATAATAACCTACTAAAGCAAATAGAAGTTGATTGGAGAATGCTGGTCCGCGGCCAATGCTCCACGAGTGTTAACTTGCATAAACTAACCACACTCTAACCTGTATGAAGTATTATTTGAAACTAAGAGCAAATCTTCGTCTTTAATTATTTTAATATTTGCCTCCATGAAGAAAATTAATTTGATTCACGTTTAAACATGTAAGGGTGTGTTTACAATTTGTTGAACAATACTTTTTATGATATAACATTGCTCGCATACGTATAATCTTATCAAGACCATGCATTCATGTTACAAGATACAAGGTACACTTGAACAATTATATATAGAAATGAAAACATATAATCATCTTAATGTCGATTATTATTATTATTATTACAATAGTTGTTGAGTTTTTCTCTTGTTTACTGAGCATTAATGCACAGTAAACATTTTCTCAAGTAAACAAAACTTTCTGCTAATCATCTTTGATCAGTTGTATTTGTTGTTTTGTTTTTAATGCATGTTCAGATGATTAAATTCATAATTATTGTTATGAAGTTTTAAAATGACTGAAGTAGAATTTCTCCCTTCCTTCCGTCTTCCTCTCTCCGGATCAACATGCGAAATAGATAGATGTGAAACTAAATACTTCACTCCCATCTTATTTCTTAAATAAGCGTAACTAATTTTTGGTAGCCCTTATTATTTAGTATTTTTCCTAAAGCCGAATTCGTTGTTTTTAATCGGACGTTTTTTAAACCCAAATTATGTGAAAAACAGGCTGTGACGTTACATTGGAATATGATGTTGAGAAGTTCTGTGACTGAACGCTCGAATCGGTTTCCTAAGCTATTTTATTAACCACGAGCTAAATCTGCACGACAACATGATGACGATGAGTGAAAAGGCACGAAGTATGAAAAGAACACTTTACTCCAAGGTTGATTAATGTGCTGACGTAAATGTCCATTTACGACCATTACTAGCTTTTATGAATCAGGATTTTTTATCCATAAAAAGTATGCATTTGCCAAACGTATCTTTGGACATGACCACACATGACCATTTGAAGGGTAATACAAGTTAGTCGATATCTCAATCCTTGAACACATCAAAATTGAAACTTTCTCTACCTCAGTCTATTCATCATTTTATTAGTGTTGCTATACAGTCTTTATTTTAACATCAGTAACACTGATTTATTTTGATAGTTCCCACATGATTTCGTTTGTTAGTTTTACATAAGGCATTATATGCTTTTTTTCAACTATCATTGAATGTGATTTTTAAATCGAAACTACTATTGATCAAAAGAGAATATAATCAGTCATTTGTGTTTCCTGTGTGGTGATTGTTTCTTTCTTCTAACATAAAAAAACAACATATGTGATACTTCTATCAGTCAATTTTAGCTTCTACTCAATGGTATTCGATTAGTGTTTCAGTCGATAATTACTTAGTTGTCTTTTAACTACCAAGTTGTATATTCAAATCTGACTTTCACTAGTTCAGCTTACTTGATGATTGGGTATCGTCACTACTGTCGTCAGATTAAAAATTGCTCTCCAAAACAAAATAAAATAATCTCATACAGGTTATTCGACTATAGATTATTCTTTTCTGTTTTGGATTGTTTCAGTACTACATATTCCTTTTGTATTGTATGCTCTCTTTTCTGTCTAATAATTTTATTAATTTAGTCAGTCATACATAAGTTGGAACCAGAAGTATATGTCCATCGGTCCAAGTTGTCATATATCACATTATGAAATTACGAAGAGTAGTAGTGCGACGTATGCTACTTATGTCTGTCAACATAAGTAGTATGTAACACCAATCAGAAGTGGAATGCCTGGCGGCAGAAAGTTGAGAAGATCGGATTGAAGAGAACAGGAATAATATCAGTGGTGTTGTTGGTAGTAAAGGTCTAAGGGATTAAGTAATTTAAAAACAGATAATCCAAAGGAGGACAAAGAGTGCATACTTCCGTTCCATTATGAACTATCCTTGGCCATTTCACCCAATGTCTCCAATTCCACTGATCATGGATATCGCTCTGACCTCAACCAAGTAAATTGGATTTATTGACTTGGTTCAGACCAACAGCCATTCACTTGTTATAGACTGATATTCCATATCTTAGTTTGCACGTCGCTGTTTTTATAACCTACTTCTACACCAGGAAGCATCTTTCGTAGATGTAGGCAATGGTTAAGCCTACGTGTTATGCCTTGTTGATGAACATCAACTGACATGAAATGATAATAATAATTGTCTTATTCGATAAAATATGTTTAATCATTGCTAAAAAATTCTCAGAGAGAAATGTACAACATTGCAGCACCTAACTTATGGATATACAAAAATCTGCAGAATAAGTTATAATACTATAATTAGCTGCTGTACATATTCATCTGTAAAGGTTTATAAGCATTTGTCTTGCTCATATGAAATCTCTTTTCATCTCTGAATATATTTGATGCATGAATTTTATAGTAATGATATCAAGATCCCCTAAACGACAGAGGAGAAAGAGGAGGCGACAAATATGCAAACCGTTATAGTGGTACTTCTCGAGTTTCTCAGTAATTAAATTCATGATAGTGGGTTGTGAACATTATATGGAATCGTGTAAGTACACTCTAATGTAATTAGTTCACTAAAGATATTTTACCGGGGAAATGTTGACTTAAAAGTTTAAGTTCTGTTTAGTGTAATACTGCTTTCTTTGCATATATATATATATATATATATATATATATATATATATATATATATATATATATATATATATTAACTGTGCCTTTTTTATGTGTGGATTTCGGTCTTTAAGACAAAAGTGGAGGGATTTTAGTCATTACTGGAAGTCCTGGAAGTGGAAAAACTGTTCATCTGGCTGCATTAGCAATGTCGTTGGCTAAAAGTGATCATCAGTCTACTTTGATGAGTTCTGAAGATTGTACTCGATCAACAAGTACCACACGGAAATCAATCTCAAACAGTCAATCCTTGGCAAAGTATCAAATTTTAATTCATTTTACCAGTGGTATACCAAGTACAGGTTTACCGTCATGTAAACAATTGTCTAAACTGCTTGATCATTGGATCAAATGTCTAGCTGCCCAGTTACAGAATTTATTCAGTTCATCAAATATTCTTAAAATGTTTCTTTCGAGGATCAAAGTTAATTTGGATAGCGCAAATACAGCAAATGATCACCATAATCTAAAGTAATTTTTTTCATTTCACTTATTTGACAGAATGATATTAAATTTGTAAATGATTATCTGACTATTGTTACAATCACGTCTACTAGATATAACATAGAGAGGACCATAAAATATGAAAAAGCACTGTATAGATGTTTTAACCTAATTTAAGACCTCTTATCGGTATACATTTACTAACTTAGAACCTAGTATCTATAGGTTACCAATTCATCATTCTTTGAAGTGTTTAAATACAACCAGGAACAATAAGTTGAAGACATTGTTCTACACAGACTGACGTCAACTGAGAAATCGTTGAAAAATAGAGAACGTTGGACAGATGTTCCAGTGAGGTTCACGACTCCTCGACAGCTTACATCCATGATACGTTACATTAGGCTGAAATCAGTAGTTTCAGGTTTCGTTGCAATTAAGACACTTCCAGACCTTTTAACCCTGGATTCATTGATCACCATCTTTACCTTAGTGAATTTATGAAGTACCGTAATGATTAACAAGCACTATTACTAATATTGCATATGTGTGCCCGGTCCTACGTTGTAACTGACTGACCGACTGATTACTTATATTTGTCTTGTTCCTGACATGGTTGAAATCCAGTTTTCTAAGGCTTTGTATGGAAACTTCAGTTAATCATCCAAAAGTCTTCCAGTCATGACACAACCAAAAAATAACTATAAATGTCTGTCTACTTACTTATTTTGTAAAATGTAGTTTCATGTGTGTGTGTTTCTTTCGTTGTAGATTGAAAATGCTTTGTTTTAATAAAATGATATGGTTTTTGGGTTATATACCTGAATTGAATTATGCTTTTCTAATTGACGATGTAGACCATCTTGATCCGTTGATATTAGACGATTGGCTACCATCAGTCTTACCAAAAGTAAGTGTTCTGTTGAAACAATTAATAACAATATTATTCAAGGTTACGTTTTTAAAAAAATACTCCGCCCGTAGCTCTTCTAGAGTTACTGCCGGTCCCAAGCCCGGTTAATGAGGGAGGGTTGGGCATGGGGTTAGTGACCGCATTGTGTAGAAAACCCTACTCGCTAAAAAAACGTTAACCAGAAAAATACGTTTTAAAATCGTTTCGATCAGTAAGTAAACTTGACAAAATAATTAAAGCTCGTAGTATGTAGGTTATTGGGTTGGTACTGGACTCGGTTTGTCGTGACATTGTAACTTCAGCGAAAGTTCATTCTCGTGAATGAAAGCGTCTCTTCTTTGTAATTGGTCGACTAATTTGAAAAGAATTAGACGGAAAGGCAACATTATTTATGTTGTTCGTAAATTCAAAGGCATAATTTTAGCATATGTGATCATCGTCAGTGTGAAAGATGATAAAATAGTTCAAAATACTAATTCAAATTCTATTTGGTTAAGTCGAAGTAAATTTTGTATAATTGATCATTGGCTAATTTCTTGTTGAACCAGTCATATTCTATTGGTTGAAATTCATAAATTAGTAATCATATGTCATACAGTGGTGTGATTTATCAAGGATAAAAGTCTTATGCAACACAAAAACACACCGGTAACATTATAAAGACGAATGGTATTGCATCATAAATTGAAATGACATTTTTTCATACTTTGGCAAATTTAATCACTGAGTAACAGTCAGTCGGTCAGTCACAACGTAGAACTTCGTACGTACCTACATCAGTTCGAGTTGCCATACCACAGAGATGCAGGTGTCGATTGAAATCCCATAGTGGTAGTAGTAGTAGTAAGAGTATAAGCATTATGTGAAAGATTAGGGTTTGAAGATGTTATTGAAGGAGTATAATACAGTGAAATAAATTTGAAAAGAGAAAAAAGGTAGATACTTGAAGAATTCAGAAGATTAGAATTTGGTAGAACACAACGAGCGGATGCACCTTCGCCATTGCAAACGATTTTGAGCCATGTCATTCAAGGTTTCTAACCATCGGTTGCTATCATATCGCAGATCCCAACCAGGTAGTCTACACCTACCAACACGGCTCAGTCCACTTGTCAGCGACTTCATGGATTTGTGCCACGTTTTGGTAAACGAACACAATATGGCTGAGTCATTGTGTTATAATATAAACTCTCACATCTCCAACTTCATGGAATTTTATCCTTGAGTTGCTATCCCATTCTCGTTTTGGTTGGTTTCATTAGTTTCTACTTCGCGCTACATCATCCAGTAATTCATCTTTAAATTAGTCTACTAAACGAACTCTGGATCTGATTTCCCAGCCGCTTCTAATAACCTCAGGCTAGATCTACACGGCAACTTGAGCTTAAAAGAAAAGGCGCTTAGTTAGAAAAAAACTTTACTTTAAGGTTAGTTTATGTACGGAATAACGATGGTATTCACATATTTACACACGACTATGGGCTTTTAGAAATCCCTTGAACCACACTAAATATAGTATATGCTGTACATAGTTTAGGTAACATGACTATTCACTTCCTAGATGTCACTGAGAAGCTCCTATTCAACGCAGATAGGGTAAAATGTTTCATGGGCCTCTAGAGACAATGTTGATAAATATTCCACGACTCCTCAAGGTATAAATTTATCAAATCTGTAATCTAACTATTTAGTCTGTTAATGATTTGGTGAGACAATCAGAAGTAGCTAAATGAGAAGGTCACTTGATGACAATCTGAAATGATCTGAAGGATGAATGAATATCATCGACTAAGAAATGGATTGATTTTCTAAGGGGTAGAGATGTATATATATGAATGAGTATTTGTGCATTTTATTCGGTAGCCAATATAATTTCTCTTCCACTCTTGTGTTCTTGCTCAACTAGTCGACTAGAAGGGGGGTGACTTTCACGCGTAGCACATCGTGTATCAGTATCTGGTTTCAGACACTATCATGACAGTTAACATTAAAAAAATATTTAAATTTCGAGTACTTTATCGATAAAAAAGTATTAGTCAATGTTTTTTGTTTGTCCATTATTTCTTTCTAATCAGAATGTTCAGTTCATTTTTACATGCGAATCTAATTCGAAAATCATACAAAAATTAACATGTCAATATGACAACAAAACTTGTTCAGTGTATCAGATACCCCAGTTAACTTCTGAAGAATGTCGTTCTGTTATATTGTCTCATTTACAAAGCAATGGAGTGTCTTGTGTTCCTTCTCAATTGGAATATGAGGTATGTTGAAATGAATAATTGTTTTGTGATAAAAGTGTTATATCACGATAACAATAGTGAATGGTAACTTTGGGATCCATTTATTTATGGACCCATATTATGCATATAATTTTTATCATATATTTGCTAAATAATTAAGATATTCATATTCATGTTCCTTTCATTGTGAACTTTATTTTGACTTATGAACTATTGTCATACGATTTACCATTCCTGAGATATACTCATTTTATTAATTACTGCTCCCCCTATTCACAGCCACATTTGGCTAACCCTTGTACAAATGTTATTTTCTATTTTATTGGTACGTTGTGGCCAGTCTGTTTGGTATATAAACTCAGTATGTTTGAAATACAATGATTCATACCGTTGAGGCTGTTATTGGTGTTTTGGACTTGATTGGCTGGGCTAGGCAGAAGCAGAATCGATAAGCGCTCTAGACTGCTCGTACGGTTTTCGTGTGTCACTGTTCCAATCGATAATTCGCGGCTCTCTGATTGGCGATCTTATCACATCACACATTAACTAGGCATCCACTCAGTCACAAGATATAACAAAAAGCTAGTCATTGAATAAAAATCTAAATCATAAAGTATTCATTTTTCTATGGAAAAAAAATTGAAAATCTGCTTTTATCCTCCATCTTATGCTTTCTTGTACACTACTTTTTAGATCGCTGTACTAATTTCAGCTTGTGAGTCAAATAATCCATCGTATTTCTATATGGTTTGTAAATATCTACAATTATGTGGAACTCATGATGAGGTTTGTCATTATTATGAATTTTTAATATAATCATGATTTATATCATTATTAGTAAGAACTTGAATTATCCCGTTGTTGATATTTTGGACTGGGTTTCGATCGTTCTATATAGCGATCGACACTAGGATGCAGGCACATCCACCTGATGAGTGTCCAAATAGGTTGAAACGCTTATCCTAGATTCAGCTGTTATCTATAATCCACTTGTTGTTTAGAATATACATTTGTTTTCTTTTGGTTAATTATTTACGTATATTGTTGTTATTAAATCCGAGTTGCCATTGTTTTATCTGATACTCTTACATCTGGTCGACTTGCACTTGTATATACGTATCGATTTTGTTGGGTCCGCACACTTACTGCTCATATTTGACAACCAGACAGCACTGGAATTCCTTGGTTCTACTGCTTGTTCATAGAAATAGAATCCACTGCAATTCCCACTACGTAAATTAAAAACACGAAAAACTGGTGCAATGAAGACGTATTGAATCCCTAGAAGCACGTCCTCTAGCGAGTCCCAAAATCACATCATCATTAGGCCAAAATGCAATCATTTATATACTGTTTTGTACACACAATAATATCATGTGGGGGAAAATGCACAGAGTTACCGTGAAACCACACATACTAAGTAAAGTTCAACTGAACTGATACAGAGTATATAATTGTCAAACTAGACGGAGTTTATACTGAATCAATACAAGAAAATATTGGCTTAAATAATGTCATCTTTTTATCCTGTCATATTAATTGCTTGGTCAGCAATGGTTCTGCTCCTGTATTTTATTCATATTCAGTAATGCTTAAAATGCTATGGTTTACTTGTATTTTCACCTTGTGAAGATGAGATTGAACAAGGTCGGGGAATTTCATTGATCGATTTTCATAATTTCTCTTAAGGCTTTTAGGATGGTTGTGATGTTGGTCTGTTGTTGGTATTTCTAGAAACATATTTCAAATTTCCGTCTGCACAATCGCTCATTTGATTTATTTTGTTATGAAATATTTTCAACTACTTGCAAGATATATTATGTGATTGGAACGCGTTCGGGATATCACTTTCAATAATAAATATCTGGAGATGTTTTGAAAGTTAATATATACAAAATGATCGTATTTTTCCATTGAAATCATGAATCGGTCTAAGTAAGATCATCATTAAGAACCTGGATGCACTGGACTGTCATTTTGTCTTTGTGTTAGACCCCTCACCAACCAAAAGCGATGGGAGATTGTTGCGCAATGTCATGCATTGATTGAGGTTAGACACAAACACAGTGGTCTAAAGGTTAACCGTTCATGTGCGATACTGAAGGTCCTTGGTTTGAGTCCCACCTGCAGGGTCGTGGATAAAGACCGCTGAGGAGTCCTATATTAGGATGAGACGGCTGTCCAATGCTTCCAGGTTTTCCGTGGTAGTCTACTTAGATCGGTCCATGATTTTAATGAATTCCAACAATCTCCACAACCTCATATTAAAGAGTGTTGCAGTAAGTGAGGTTTTCAGAAGATATTGGTCAATGTTTTTTCATTATATACATTTGAGGATATACTGATTTCCACTGTCTGTAATCGCTCAATCAGCTTTTGGTAGTATGTTACTTGTTACATTTAAAAGTGTTGAATAGCTTTTTCTATTTTGTCGATATAACTTCAATTATTAATCTTCAGTAAAACTAATAACTTTTGTCAAGATCGAACTTCTAACTTTAAATTCATCTGATGGAAATCATCATTGTTCTTGCTCTTATGATACTGATTAAAACATATTCATCCATAGATCGCTACATATTTCCATACACTCTAGAATTTGACTATCGTGAACATCCTAACTTCATTTATCTGTAAATCTCTGCTTATAAATTATCTATCCTTTCATTTTTATTGTTTAGGTGAAATCTCATCTGAAAATGTTATCTGGCACAATTGATCAGTTAATAGATCAGATTATCAAAAATCTTGAAGGTGAATATAAAAACGACTTGATTATTGCAACACTGGCTTTTTTAATCTTTTATCGTCATTCATTATCAAGTAAAGAACTTTTAATTCTTCTGAATGAATGGCTTATTATTACACAAAATATTAATGAAAAATCAATTGAAATCAATTGGGAGAATAATCCATGGAAAATGCTTTCTATCATCCAGGATAAACCGAATGATTTACAATCTATATGTATACTTGAAAGTAATATTAACCGGTTTATTCTATCAAAACATTCAAACCAATTAAAACAATTACATTTAACTCCATTTACATTTCATATTCTTCTTAGTAGATTACATCCATTAATGATTATATTCAATAAGTCATTACATTGTTTCAATAATACATTCAATGATAATAATAATAATAATAATAATAATAATAATAATAATAATAATAATAATAATAATAATGTTATCTCATCTGAAAAGATGACATTAAATAAGAAAATTGAATTATGGAATTTAGGTGCAAAGAATTTATCATTTCTAAGTCATTCCATTGAAAAAGTAGTATTCAATAAATTTTTTGAAAACCATGGAAATTATATGTACTCAGAGTATACGTTTAATACTACTATTCATAAAATACTGGCTATTGTTTGTTCGGATTTAGATGATAAACTATATCATTTTGTAAGTTGATTTTAAATGTAATCACATATCGTATATATGTATATATGCATACGACAGGTATATGTGCACTACTGAAGAGCTTCATAGTGAAACAAAATAACTGTTTAATGCTTTTTAGTTTTTCAATGATTGTTTAAAGAAGATCAATTCATGACGGCAACCATCATATTACTTTGTACTGTGTGTGCTATGAAGAGAAATGTGATTGTTGTTTACGGTAGTTTAGCTGGAAATTTAGCCATAAACCTAATACGTGGAGCGTAGCTGAATGGGTTATTTATTTATTTATACACATAAATATTGGTACAAAGGGACACCAGATATATATGTGCCACACAAATCTCATTTCATTTGTGTGAGGGCTGGGATACTGCCCGGGTGCCCAGACCGGAGCAGGTGGTTTTCTTAGCGGACCATACCGGAGCCTTTGATCTAAAGATTTGACTCACAAGGCAGTGGAGCATCGTGAGGAGATGCAGTCCCATGGTAGCCGGTGACCAATGATTGGTTTATTCGCCATTTGTTACTTCAGGATACTGGAGCCAATGTACACCATTGATTTGGAGTTCCTCAACTCCCCTAGGTGGACTCTCGGTGTCCATCAACCCGGTTTAAGCGCCAGACATTTTCTTTTCGTCCTCTCAATTTCGTAAACAACACCTGTGATGCGAGAAGGCAGTGAGTAGGAATTCCCTGGCAGAGGCTATATATTCGCGTGGCTATGTGAGAGCATTTGGAGAGGAAGAGCGGACTCTTCCCACTCTCAGCCGTACGAGGGCATTTGGGGGCGCTGAATGGATTGAAGAAAGGTGAGTTTTAGTCACTCTACTGAATGTATATTGTACAATCAAATCTGTTATACATATTCATAATAATCAATGAAGATATTACGATTTATTACACAGTGAATAACTTATCAATAGTGATAATGCAGTTCACAAATCAACAACTCATCTGTCGATTTTATTCCTCAGATCAACATGAAACCATTGATGGTGTGGAACGCATGACTGTTTTCTAAATTCTTTTGTTAATTTTTAATTCCAAGAGAACTTAGTGATAAGTTTACTGGTTTTCGGTAATATTTACCTATAATCTGTAGCCTATATGAAAGATTGAATGTTATAATTTCTACTTCAGACTTTTTATTTAATTCATCATTTCCAAAGTTGACAGTTTAATTAGCCAAGTGTAATGACTAAGTACACAGATGACTGAAATTCTCTAGTCTACACAATGTTAGTAAAGTGCTAAACCATTAAGAAACAGCATTGATTGTCAATTAACTGCTGTCCTCATATGTTTTTTTGGTTGAAGTACCATATAGCGAAATCGATATGATATCTATCATGGCGACTCTTTATCAGAGCTTTGTAAACGTTGGTTAGATACTGAACATATTTTTCTCCATAGTTTTATTTTTTTGAATGTTTCGGTATTGAAATGGATCAATGATTCCTTAAATACATGTAGATATATGCTTTGAGCATGATAAATTAATGTATGATGTATGAAATGTGAAGACTTTGAATTCTTTTTTGAATAGGATGTTGTGATAGCTAATTGTTAACCATTTAAAAACTGTGATCAAACAACAGTAGTTGTTCACTTCCTAATTCCTTCTTTATGCCTTGTTCGTAATGTTTTATGTTTTTCTTTTCAAGCTGTATGCTGATGAATTGGATATTATTTGTCATTTGCTCACTAGCCCCATGTTTATATGCAGAATTTTAAGAGATTATCCGTCAACATTGATGAAATTTCTCAATGGATATCGTAAGTGTGATTATTTTAAATTTGAATACGTTTACGGATTTGTCAAATATATGTCCATTATGCTAATATTTTGTATCAAAGTATCGCCAACTGGTGGCAATTTGTACAACATCCCCTGAAACGGTACGATTATTAGACACTGGTTTAATTCAGGTGTGCTCGTTAACTTACAAATAGAAACACCTCGTTCAGGCTGTCCTATGATCAACAACTTGGATCGATCGTCCAAAGTATGCCATTGGTTCGTATGTGATGACAACCCAAGTTTTCTTTAAAATACGTAAATTATTTTAATCATTACTAATTAAACTCTGTTTGAATTAATTTTGTTTTCTCAGCTACGAATGATCGATGTATACAAGAAAAGTGGAAAAGGAAACTAGAATCATGTCCTTTCGGTGACAAAATTGATGCGATGAAGAAGTTTATTTGTGTAAACTATGAGTTTTTAGTAAAGTAAGTTTCATATTTACTTATATCATTAATTAACCATGTATTGTGACCCACAGTTATTGTATAAGGGTTTATTATAATAATTGTTCAATGTAGATGTTCTGAAATAAATTTGTATGGAGACTGCAGTTGTTTCATTTATTAGGATATCTAATTCATGTCTGTATTTACAGTATATCATCTTGCGTCACCTATCAAGTGCAGTACAACATGAAAATTCGGACTGGTAGCTAATTAAATTGATGATTTACTCCATTCACTAGTTACTTTAAATTTTACAAATTAGAAAACGATACTTTCTTCTTAGATCAACATTGCTCAAAGTGATGTAAACCATGACCATACACAAGTTGTAGATTAGTAAATGTTTATGTTTTTGATATTCGGATCTGTTCATTGTAAACACTGATTTCAAACAAGTATTTGGTAACAAAAGTAAATGAACATCATGTTGTAATAACGTCAAATGAACATGAATTATAACTACACTATGTGAAGCGCTGTACACCCAACTTCTCATAACAACTTCTATGCAGCATTGTTTCTATAGTTTCAAACATTTTGGAAATACTACACGGACGTTTGATAGTCAGATTGAAATCTTTTCTCTCTTAAGCACGTTTTTCAACTATTCCCAACTTTATATCAATACAGACTGAAATAAATTTACGAGTCTTGCATAAGTTAAATCATTCTGATTAACACATCAAAATGTTACTATTGTTGTCTAAAATGATGCTTTTTATTCTCTTACTCGATAGATATCCAAATTCGTTTTGCGAATTAGCTATCAACCAAGATTCCAGTGAATGGATCCATACGTTAGGCCTCTCATTGTTGTATCTTAATGATTTCGGTGTACAAAGTCAATTAGACATTAACAATAGTCAAATACTCTTCCGTGTAAATTTACCAAAATGCACTCTGATTAAACCTATGCAGAGGAATATGATATATAAACCGATTGTAACTTCAAATGGTTCCATGGATGTGCCAACATCTGTGGAAATGAATTCAGCTGCCAATGTATTGGTGTATGGAACTAGGTGTGGTACGATCACTTTCGTAGAATTGTCCACTCTACGTGTGAGTTCTCTCCTAAATTTCTATTGTTCTAACATCGAACAGAGTCTCTCATTTTTTCTGATTTTCAATGTTGTTACCTAACTTACTAAACATTTGGGATAACATTACTTGATTGGCTGGATTTGTATCAACGTGATTTGAAGAAAATGTGTCTCATGATAAGATTCTAGTGAACAACGACTTTCGAGTTAGTGATCCAGCTCTCCACCAATTGACATAAGAGGCTTAGCCATCAGTCTGTTTTTATTATTAATGTTAGTATCGTTAGTGTAAATGTTCCTTAATTTTAAAAGTCTCTTTGTTACTTTATTTCAGGAACTGTGGTCATTAACTGGACACCATTCAAGCGTTCAAAGTTTATGTTTCCTTGAGGAATTTCCCAGTAAATCTGAAGACATAAAATCTCCCAAAAAGTTCATTTCAGAACTTTGGTTGATGAGTGCTTCAGAGGATGGTGATATTTTTATCTGGGATGCGTCTACTGCGACTCACAATGTTGAATATAATGTGCATGATAAAACAGTGATTTCACAATTGGCATCGTTATGTGGATATCATCGTCGATGTGTAACTACTTCTGCATGGCATCCAAGACGTCAACTGGTTGCTACCGGTGACTTAGACTGTATGGTGTACTTATGGGATGTTTCACAAATTGATGTTAAATCCAGTGAGCTATCGACAAGTGTCTGTTCTGTAAAGCTTCACCCATTTAAGTCAATAAATGTATCCAGTCATCCTATTGTTTCGATTGCATTCCGATTACCATCTGTTCTAAACAATAAACAAGAAGACTTAATACATGATGATTTGGCTATAGGATGTTGGGATGGTACAATACATTTCTACAATTTGTCTTCCTTATCTATTGTGAGGGTAAGTTAACAAATCTTGCATTGTTATTTGTAGAGCGGTGGCTCAGTGGTGAAGGCATCAGACTCTTATTCACTAATTCGTATGTTCACCTCATACTCCACCTACTTTGATTTGACCAATCGAGTAGTCTTTCTGCTTCTAACAACCAGAATGTGTCTTGAAGCCGAGTATACTAATCTGTTCTTAATAAATGAGTTGCGTTGTGCGATATTCGTTGGCAGTCGTAGATTTCTATATCGGTCATTCATATTTTTGTCTCTTGATTTTATCAATAGTCACTATCTGCATCAACGTCACTCTGTTCACTTGCCTACTCACCAAATGGTGGGAATATATTAGCAACGTTTAATAAAGATGGTGAATTAATGCTGTGGAATGATGATATACTTTGGTATGAAGGTGGTGTAATACAAGAATATTCTTGTTATTCATCTGAATATTTCTTATTTGATCAAACTGATGTATTAATTCCAAACCAATATGGGAAAATATGCTTTTCGAAACCAAATGGTCAGTACATTTTCCAGTCAGGTGGTGGCCAATTCTTGAATAATTATATTAATATTTGGGATACTAGACTATGGGCGACCTATGGTAAGTGTTGGTTTTAGTTTTTTGTACCTTGAAATAGCAATATTTTTACCTCTTTTAAAAATAAATGAATGAATTTGTCAAGCTTGAATGTTTATTTCATTCCATACACCATTTAATCTTATTTGATTTGTAATAATTATCTGAGCTGTGATTAGTTGATAAGCGAGCAAAGACAAACATATCCGGTTATGGAAATGTATATCTCGCTCTAAATTAATTGTTTTCTACATATAATAAACTGTTGTCTATATAATAGTAGATCGGATGTTGCGACTGTCATCTGATATAGTATAGTGTATCATTTCGTAATCCTACTGTCTTTTATCCAATGTATAAATTAGTAATACCTATTATGAAGTTTGCGAATGCGGAAATCAGTATTTTCAAAGTCTTATCAATCGAATCTGCCAAGGTCACAGTAAATTTATTCAGTCAACATGTCAAATATATTTTGTAAGCAATATGTTTTATATTAGTTCGACAGTATGATTCTGACTATGTAATGCGGTTAAGCAATGAAAACCAATCAGTGTGAAGAATTGTTGATAATAAAAATTATACAATTGTTTGTTCTCCCTCTCGAAATGCTCTCACATGGCCACGCGAATATATAGCCTCTGCCAGGGAAGTCCTACTCAGTGCCTTCTCGTGGCGGGGGTGTTGTTCACGAAAGTGAGAGGACGAAGATCGAATGTCCGGCGCTTTAACCGGTTTGGTGGATGTGGAGTATCCACCTAAGGGAATTGGAAAACCCTGATTCCAAACCAATGGTGCACGTGGGCTCCAGTATCTTGATGGAACGAATGGCGTATGAACCTATTGTTGGTCACCGGCTACCATGGGACTGCATCTCCTCACGATGCTCCACTGCCTTGTGGACTAGACCTTTAGGTCAAAGGCTCGGGGTGTGGCCCCCTAAGAAAACCACCTGCTTCAGTTTGGGCACCTGGTCAGTATCACAGCCCTCACACAAATCAAATGAGATTTGTGAGGTGCATATTTATCTGGTGCTTCCTTGTACCAATATTTATGTGTTTAAATAAATAAATAATAAAATAAGTTTGCTCATATCTGTGTGTAATCAATCTGCCTCTTGAATGCCTGATAATGACTTTGAAGGCGCTTCTTAGATCCGCAAAATACTCCTACACTTGAGCCCCGAACTTTAGGAAGTAATTATGAAGTAAGAAAAAAAAGCTTTAATTTAAGCTTCATTAGTGTACAGAACACAACCGTCTATCTATGTTCAATGGTAGCCTCTGGCTTCTAAATAACTCCGGAATCTGGCTAAATATAGTAACAGAGTAAAAAATAATCTAAGAGTACGACATACAATCTACCAATATTTAAGAGGTTTTCTTAGTGTGCGGTGATTGGAAAAATTATTCTTAGTTTTCTTCTAACCTCTTAAAGCCTTATCGAGAATCTCTTAGAGGGAACCCTGCTGTTTAGTTTTCTAGTGCTGATCGAATTCTATCGATCAGTTTGCAGTATTGTCACTAGTTTGAGTAGCTAGACATCGCTTACATGTTTTATATTTATCAACCAGTTTTAATTAACATAAAAAAACCTTATTCATTATCTTTCGCTTTATTTGTCTTGACTTTTTGCATAGGTCCATGGATTGATGTAAAACCGCCTCAAATAGATTCAGGAAATTGTATGTATGTAACTTATGTGGCAATGTTGCCTTCTGCTGAACATGTTTTAATAGGTTGGAATAACGGCGATCTGATTGTTATTCATACGTCCGATGGTAGATTAATTCATTATTTGAAAGCAGCAACAGAAGATAATTCACCTATCCAGTGTATTACAAGTAGTTGTGCAAGATCTTATTCAGCATTTGATGCATATCATATTATTGTTGGTTATGCATCTGGCGCTGTA